TTGTTTGTTGTTGTTGTTTAGTCATTTACTCATGTCCGCCTCTTCCTGGCCACATGGACCAGAGCATGCCAGGCCCTCCTGTCTTCCACTGCCTCCCAGAGTTTGGTCAAATTCATGTTGGTAGCTTCGATGACCCTGTCCAACCATCTCATCCTCTGTCGTCCCCTTCTCGTCTTGCCTTCACACTTCCCCAACATCAGGGTCTAATTAATTAATGATTACTTACCATCAAGTTGATTTTGCCTTACAGTTACCCTTTTAGATATGGAGTATTCTGATGTGATTTGCCATTCTTTTCTTCTGGGGGTTCCCTGAGACTGTGCAGCTTGCCCAAGGAAACATAGGCTGGCTCTTCTCCCAGGAGGCCCAGTGAGGAATTGAACTTCTAACCTCTGGCTCCAATTTTTTTGGGGAGTGGGAGGGTTGGCGAGGCTCTCCCTAAGCCTCCCACTCCAAAAAATTGGACCCCCAGCCCCATTAGCTTCGGGACAAACAGTAGATGGGATAGTAGAATTCTGGTGTGGATAAACAGGAAGTAAATATTGTGATGGGTTGGGTTGGGGGGACAGTATTGGTTATTTTATATAAGTATAGGGTATTGTTTGTTACTTTGTTGTGGATATTTAGAGGGATTTTCACAATCTGAACCAAAAGGGAGAAATGGATGTAAATAATTATGGTTAATAATTTTAAAATATTGACTTTATATGTGAAATGCCTGGAAACTGTTACAAAGAGGGAACGGATAAAGGCATTATTAAATAAGAATGAAGCAGAAATGATATTTTTACAACTCATCAAGTTTTTAAAAAAGGTGTGAAATAAATTAAATAGGATTGGCCTGATATTTATGAAAAAGCCTATGAGAATTCAATGTCAAGAGGGGTTTCAACCGTAATCTGTAAGAAACATGATTTTAAAGTCAATGAAAGGAAGAAAAAATAGTAACAGAAAAGACATGTTACAAGAAGTAATGGGAGGAGAGAAATGTGTTGTAATCAATGTTTACTTCTCGAATGGAAACCAAACTAAGTTTTTAAAAGAAGTGTTTAAAGATTGGAAGAACTAAGGAAAGGGTTTGTAATAATGGCAGGGGATTTTAATGTCATTGTGGATAAAGAGAAGGATAAGTCAAATCCCACTAAAACTGAGAAAAAAAATTGTATTTATTAATTTATCTCTGACATTTGTTTCCCACCGACTTAGTGAAAAGCATCATAGTATTATGGTTCTGAATAGAATGATAAGGAGGGCCACTTTGGAAGATATTTGGAGAGTAATACATGGAGAGGAAAAGAAATTCATGTTCTATTCATCTGCTCATAAAATTTGCTCCAGAATAAATTATATATCTGTATTTTACAGCCTGACTTTGACAGTAATTAAAATGGGCACCACCGACTTAGTGAAAAGCATCATAGTATTATGGTTCTGAATAGAATGATAAGGAGGGCCACTTTGGAAGATATTTGGAGAGTAATACATGGAGAGGAAAAGAAATTCATGTTCTATTCATCTGCTCATAAAATTTGCTCCAGAATAAATTATATATCTGTATTTTACAGCCTGACTTTGACAGTAATTAAAATGGACATTGATCTTATAAAAGTAACCGATCATGCTTTATTAAATATGAAGATTAAAACTCAGTGTAACTGTAGAGATGCTAAAAGATGGAGATTGGATACTAGTATTTTTCAACAAAATAATAGAAAAAAATAGAAAAATAAGTTATGTATGCCGTGTATCACTGTGATCTTTGGGGCATCTGTAGAGACCCAATGGATTAGTGATTTCAACTGGTAGCAGAATTTCTCAGGATAAATACTCCTGCCACAGTTATAAAATCTTGCATGTTAAATGTTCTTCTCCCAGCTGTGAAGAATGCCCCTAGCTCTGGTTATAGTTATCTCTAAGGATACATCAAAGCTATGCATCCGATAAACGAGATGTTGGCTGCATCCGTTTTCAGGATGTGACAGGATCTCTGATTGGCTTCACCACAAAGACAAGATCTGTTAAGCTTTCTTGGTTACTTTCTTCTTCAATGTCTTTGTTTCCCTCGTTTCTTTCAAGTGAAGATTACTTCGTATTGATAAAAGATTCACATGATCCCATTTGACTTCCTTTGTATCTTTCAGTGATTTCAGCCGCTTCCCAAGCCCTCCTGCTTTTTCATTCATAGTAGGAACCACCTTCCAGTAGTATGTTTGCCTGTCTACCTTTCTGTATCCTGCATGGTTGTCATTTATAATCTGCAATCTTGGCACAATTTTGCACAGAACACAGCTTTTTTTTTTGGAAATGGTACCCAGTTTGAAATACTTATGGATGCTCTAGCTATTTCACAAAGGTCACTGTGCCGTGCGTTCTCAACCTTGCTGCTCAGCTGTTTGTTTCCATTGCTCCAGATGTGTTTGGCTGCAGAATGAGCATCTTGGATACTCCAGATATTTGGTGGGTCCTCTTCAAGGACCGCGTTATGGTCAGCGTCCTCCGTACTCACCATTTTGTTTGCTGTGACACAGCTGCACCATCCGGGCATCCATGAAAGGGTTAATCTGAAGGGAGAAAGTGCTAGTTCTTCTGCTTCCGTATTGCTTTCATCATATCTTAAGCGAAAATGTCTAAAGGGGAAATTTTCGACTACATGTGGCATCTTTTCTGACAATCTAGACCTCTGATTTTTGGGGGCGTCGCAGTCTCACCTTTTCCTCTTTAAACATGATTTCTTTCTTCTCTGATGCCTTTATTTCTCTCCCTTTTTCTGAGTGAAGATCAATATGTATGGTTAGAGGTCTCATGCAATCCAATTTGATTCCTTTTGCGTCCCGTGGGTGGTTTCAGCTGTAGTGCAAACACAACTGCTTTGTGGTTCCTCGAAGGAACTGACTTTTGATAGTATGTGTACCAGCGACATATACCATCCTTGGACAAAAAGCGTGGATAAATTTGTTCCCAGACAGCGCATGTCCCTGGTACATGTGCTACCAGGGGTGTTTCTGCATTTCTGTATTGACCATGAGGCATTAATGGGGCGGAGAAGCACCACCACAGGCCCTTCATATTAATACACCATTCACAAGTTATGATTAGAAGTGCAGAAGGAGAAAAGAAAACTAAGGAAGATCCTTATTTAGCAGCAGCAGAGGAGAAGGTTATGTTCCTTACCATAGAAATGAACTTGCCTTTGCCTTTTCCTGCTGTAAAATTATGGATAAAATCATCAAAATCTTGTGGCCACCTGCACACCTAATTTCAGGCCCAGGGAACAGGGAGAGTTAGGACAGAGGGTGTACAGAACAGCTTGCATTGCCCTTTTAAGAAGGGATCAAAGAGCATTCCTTGTCCATGGCCCCTTTAAAGCATGCCACTCACTCCCTTCTTAGCGAGTGCACCACTCCAGGCTTTCTCCTGGCACCACTAAAAAGAAAAGAAAAGGCAGGTTGGGCATCAATCTGTGTACCCATATTTCGGCATGGACCAGGTTCACGGACTTGAGTGCATCTCTAATGTCTACCTGTTTTGTGTCTATTTATTATGTACAGTTCTCATTTATAATCTACAATCTTGGCAAGGAACATAGATTTTTTTAAGCAATGGTAACTAAGCCAAAATTCTAACGAATGCTCCAGCTGCTTTACAAATCCAAAACATTCTGTGTTACGAGAGTGACAGAGAAGTTAACCCTTTTCTAATTAACTGAATATAGCTGTCATGAACACCTGGTGTGCTCTGTTATCACGAAACATCATCCTGAAGTATGATTGTCTATTGCTATCTGATTGTTCCTCTTTTTAATTAATAGTCACCACATGAGGCATCCGACTATGACACTGTGTTACTTAACAATTATTAATGTAAATAAAAAGGTTATGTGCCTTTAAAAAAACTTTTCAGTGGGAAAAATGTCCCTGTATGGAATACTCCAATCAGGTATTGAGTGTGGCGTGTTAAACTACATGCCATATACAAGTGGTTCCCAACCTTGTGTCCCCAGATGTTCTTGGACCACAACTCCCAGAAGCCCTTGCCAGCACAACTAGTGGTGAAAGCTTCTGGAAGTTGCAGTCCAAGAAAATCTGGGACCCAAGGTTGGGAACCACTGCCATGTACCATACAAACCCAAATAGCACCTTCTTATCAGCAAAATATGCTTTATAAGGGAATATTTTACACCAAAGGAGCTGTGTGATAGGGTGTGATGGTTGATCTTTTTTCCAGGGCTTTCTCCCACAGCGTTCACTCCAGTTGCTTCTCAAGTTCAATTTTCAATGTCCAATTTTCTCTTTAATACCTCCAGCATTGGGATAGTGAGCTCTTCAACACTGGGGGTTTTCAAGAGAAAATTAGATAACAATCTGTCGGATCTGCCTCGACTTGTATTCCTGCATCGAGTGGGGTGGGTGGGTTTGGACTCAGTGGCCTTATAGACCCCTTCAAACTCAATTATTCTTTGTTTCTATAATGCTAAGTTGCTTTGCAACACCACGCCACCCTGAACACATCCAAACTCATGGGCTTTTGGAAGTGAAGCAAGTTTGTATTTGCTTGGTGCTTTGAAGGTAAGATCACCAGGGAGGCTATAGCTCAGTGGTAGACCACATAACCGTGGGTGCAGAAGGTCTCGAGTTCAATTCCTAACATGTCCACAAAGGCATGGGAAAGAATCCTACCCGAAGGCTTGGATAAGTACTGCTATTTTGAGTCAGTGACAAACAAGGCTGTTCCCCTTCCTCCCATGTGGGACTTCCACACATGATAACGGTAATGAGCTACTCTTTGTGGTCCAGTTCACCCAAGAGTAGTCAGATCGAGCCCACGGGACCTGAGGATTTACGATAGTGCCCTGTGGGGTGTTTTTTCAAGCGGTTCCCCACAACCTACGCATGTGCCTGACCCTCCTTTCCCTGCACCAGTGCTGTGTGATAGGGGAACGCCCGAGCCCACAATCACTTCTCTCTGTTTTTGTTGCTCCTGTCCGTGTCATGCTATGTTAGGTACAAAGGCAGGAAGCTGGCCCAGCACAAGTCGGAAATAGAGTGTTTCACTCCAAAAGGGAGTGTGGGAAATGGTGGGCGAGCGACCATGAGCAGGTAAGCCAACGCATGAGTGGTACATGTTCCCTCCTCAAGAGGGCTTTGTGAGATTTCTGTCAGCCAGAGAAGCACCCTGGGAGCAATGTATAGCCTACTTCCACAGGGTGTGGTTACTGTATATCACTTTCAATATATCTCTAGGAGCTTGATATATAGATATACCGTATTTTTCCATGTATAAGATGCACCCATATATAAGACGCCCCCACTTTTCTGATCCAAAATTAAGAAATCTAAGTGGGGCTTAGCAAGTGTAGGGGGAAAGGGATCGAAGCCCTGCAGGATCGCTTTGATCCCTGCTTTCCCCTCCACTTGTTTTTGTTCTCTCCTCAGCTTACTTCCCTGTATAAGATGACCCTCAATTTTTAGTCTAAAGATTTTAGACAAAAGTATAGTCTGATACACAGAAAAAACACAGTATATATAATGTGGTCAGATCTGTGAACGGTGTACCTAAATGAGCCCGGCCCATTCTTGTCCCTACAAAAACTTGATTTATAGCAGGTGAAACTTTACACCAGCTTGGCTTGCAGCTGGTAAAGCTCTGGATTGACTGGAAAATATAAGCATTGTCACCTAATGTTTTTGAATCAAACTGATCTTCATGCCACATGAGCAAAGGGTGAGGTACTTCAAAAGGTGGCAACCTGCTCTGTGAAATGGGCTGCTCTTGATTTTTGTTTGTTTGTTTGTTTGTTTCCAGTGGCTTGAAGTGCTTTGCACATTATTCATTACAACACTATGCCATCAATCAGGGGATCATTCATAACAAGGCACTATACCCTGCGGGGATATATTTTGCACAACCCCATTAGCAAGGCGGATCTGTGTTTGTCAGTCTCCAGTCCAGCATGTGTTGCTTTCAGCTGTATAGATTGTGTGTTTGTTACAAATATTTCATTGGCTTCACTCTTGAAAGAAAGAAAAAAAAACTAAGAATGTGTTGTAAGGGCTTCTGGGGCACTCTTAGCATTACTAAATGATGCTCAGGCATGTATAGACTGCGATGACAGCCCAAGAAGATGCATGTCTTCAAGCTTGTGTGATAACTGAACAACCAGAGACTGGCCTTAATGGACCGTCTTCCCTGTTTATGTATGCCAGTGATGCTACCAACTGGGCACAGAAATAGTCATGTGTTTATTGTATTAAACATAAGAGTCACTACGTATTTCAGATGACTGCCAATGATATAGATAATTTTAATCCCTTCTCTTTGAGATGCTTTGGTAAGCTGTTCTCCATATTTATATTTGTATTTGCCACCATTCCTTCCCCATAAAGGCCTCTTAAGGTGCTTCACAACTATAAGCAATGCTAGAGCAATTAAAATGAGAGTAAATAGAATTGCTCTAAAAGCCAACCAGAGCTAGATTGCTGCACAAACTACGTCAGTTACTTTAGTGCTAGAATAATACACATTTTAAAAATAATGCTGTGAGGCAGTAGCTGATGACGATGATGATTCCAGGTTTTAGTCTGCCTTTAGTCTACACAGTACAAGAGTTATCCAAAGTACCCAGTCTATTTTGGCAATCGAATTCAGAACCTTGGATACCTCCTGTAATGTGTAGACTAAAATCTGGCAGCACACCCCCCAAAACTGGAGTCATCAGTTGCTATTGCTATGGCACTTCTTAGGCCTGACATATCTTAAACGTCTTGGTATGGCTAAGTTCTGAAACTGTCTTTGGACAAACACTGGCTCTATTGCTTGGAAACGGGGATGAGCACTGCCCCCTAGAGTCGGACACGACTGGACTAAATGTCAAGGGGAACCTTTGTTGTTGTTTAGTCATTAAGTCATGTCCGGCTCTTCGTGACCCCATGGAGCAGAGCACGCCAGGCCCTCCTGTCTTCCACTTCCTCCAAGAGTTTGGTCAAATTCATGTTGGTAGCTTCAATGACACTGTCCAGCCATCTCGTCCTCTGTCGTCCCCTTCTCCTCTTGCTTTCACACTTTCCCAACATCAAGGTCTTTTCCAGGGAGTCTTCTCTTCTCATGAGATGACCAAAGTATTGGAGCCTCAGCTTCAGGATCTGTCCTTCCAGTGAGCACTCAGGGTTGATTTCCTTCAGAATGGATAGGTTTGTCCTCCTTGCAGTCCAGGGGACTCTCAAGAGTCTCCTCCAGCACCACAATTCAAAAGCATCAATTCTTCAGTGGTCAGCCTCCTTTATGGTCCAGCTCTCACTTCCATACATCGCTACTGGAAAAACCATAGCTTTGAATATGCAGACCTTTGTCGGCAAGGT